TGCTTTGGAGTGTAATCGCTTCCTCTATGAGAAAAAGGAGCAGCGCATGAACCGAACGCAACACAGTCGAACCGAACGGTTCGGACGGTTTTCATAAACCGTTCCATCCCTAATGGACACTAATCTAAATTGTATAAATACAGCAGAAAATAAATAGACTCACTATTCTATTTTAAAATCCACTGACTAAATGTTATCAGATGTTTCTGATGATTCTGACATCTGATTTTAATTAACTGGATTTGTTTTATTGTAAAATGGTCTAAAGCCTAAAATACCAAAGCTTTCTGAAAAGCTTGCCAATCCAGATCCCCTTGTTCCAGAGTTTGATCCGATATCACAAGATAGTCACTGTTCTCCACAGCATAATTTTAAAAATGGATATCTGTGGCCAACTTTGATATTTAGGGATTTTAAAATGATTAATTCTTTTGTAATCAAACGGGCGCCTTTCACAGCCTTTGTGTTATTTATACTGGGACCAGAGGAAATGTCGCACTGGATGAGTGCAAAAGATTTTTCTTTTAGACAGCTTCACAGCTTAACAAGACTCCTTATTACTTTAAAGCAAAGAAAACATGATTAAAAAGTTGACATTTGGAAGATGTTCTTTCAGCGTTTAGCATAATTAGCACGGTTAGCCTTTCCCTGTGGAGCATGAAGTCCCTGCCTTGACTGTGAGGTTTCTAAAAGATTGCCAACATCTGCAGCTCCAGGAGACACAGCGTGACTCTTTAAAGGATTAAAAACTTTTACTGCATTACATTGCAAAAGTCTCAACAACTGTCTAATAAAAGCAACCGAGGAAATAGCCAAAGAAATCTACTTCTTGTTTTAGAAGTTTAATACCAGTTTTGTTTTTTTCTTACTTTATTTCTAAAACCTACTTTAAAATTTGAATGAAAAAAATCTGTAATAAGGATGTTGTTTGCATCAAAACTTGCATTCTTTAATGGTTAATGAAAGATGTTTTTAACTGGCAGATCGGTGGTCAGCTGGAAAATATTCGGCCAAACTGTATAATTAGCTCTAAATTCGCCTTTACTCATAAAAAGGCTAATTGAGACAGAAGCATTTCGATTATTCTAACTGGGCTGTTGCACAGGGAGGAAAATAGACCCTGGACTGACTTCTGAGCTGTACTTTTTTTACGATCAAGTAAAATGATACTACTGGCATAAAATCAAATACAAACAGCATAAAAACAAA